ATGGTAAGTGGATCGTTTGCATCGGAGTCCGGTATCGAAGAGTCGAAGAAGCTAACAATGTACAGTATTATGCAATGCGTGGAATTGGGGGGAGATTGGTATATGTATTTGATTCATGAGAATGTTGGCCCTACGTGGCAACTCCTAGTTGGCCTGCCTTCTCCAACTTATGGATCTTGTATGCACCTTCAAAACCTACGAAATTCATTTCCTTTTGGATTAATTATTTTTTAGACTGTATTTGGTTCATCAATTATAATAAAAAAAGAAAAAAAAAGGTGTATAAAATATAAGTGAAATAAATGTATATTTCATTCAGATTTCATGTACTTTTTTTCCTTTTCTTTTTCCTTTTCAAAAATTCTTTTTCAAATTTATAAATCAAACACAACCTTAATTGCCAAAATGGAATTTGCGTAAGAGTTTTGTTAATAAGTGCCCTTACAATACAAGTAAAAGACAAAAAAGTTGAAGAATACAATACATTTTTCACTATATTTAATAACTTTTACATAAATCAATACACTTTTTAATAGTTTTACATATTTTCAAGATACTTTATACACACTTTTTAACATTAAACAATGTATAAGAGACACTTATTAATGTTTACCTTTGTGTAATTTTGATCCTATTTTTAAAATTGTATCGATTTAGTTAATAATATATAAAAAAATGTTTGATTTGGTAACCCAGCCTGATTTTATTTATAGATGTCAATTAAAAAATTACTTTTTTTTTTATCCTCAAAGTATGCAATTTAAGTAATTTTGGTTCATAATGTTTAAATTGTATTAATTTAATCCTAAATGTATAACCATTGTTTTGATTTGAGCCCCACCCTAATTTCATCTCACTTTATGTTTGAACTAGGGGTAGAACTTGAAAACTATAAATATACAGAATAAAATAAAATAAAAATAGCCAACTCCTTTAGAGGGAAATAGCCAGTGTAAGAGCGTTACATAAAATAATAAACAAAATATGATTTAAAAAAAATATGGAAATCTTAGCTTTATTGCTTTAACAAATTCTTTTGACTCAAACTCGATTCCCCTTCCAATAACTCTTACATTAACAGACACCCAAAAAAAAAAAAAAAATACCACATAAGGTTTGAATTAGTGGATGAGATGATTGGGAATTTGATGTTTGAGAGTGATGCATCTCTTACCTTTCGTCTTATTTTCCTTCTATGAATTGAAAAACAAACACATAAACAAAACAAGATTGAACCAATAAATGTGTTTGTGACATTAAGGCTAGCGCATTAATGAGCTCCAACTACTTGTTTTTTTCTCATCTAAAAAAAATAAAAATAATTATTGTTTAATATATATATTTTTAAATTTATTAGTGGTGTACAGGAACGAAGTTAGAAATTAGTTTTAAAGGTGACTGAAATAAGTGTAGCAAAAAAAAAAAAAAAAAAAAAAAAAAATTCGAATGAAAGAATTTAAGTATTATATTAAACAATTTGGGATTATCTTATATGCATTATGCAAAATAAAGATTCAATGGAAGAATTTTTCAAAAAATTAAGAATACTTCTATATACAATATGAAAATTGTTCATAAAATATGGGATTACTTCATAATTTTGAAAAGTCTTACGCTATATTTGGTTGGAAAATTTGAAAAGAAACTTGGAAAGGAAAATAGAAAAAATAGTAGGTGAAACTAGGTGAAAATGTATATTTTATTCACATTTTACCTATCTTTTTCTTTTTCCTCCCAAATTTCTTTTAAAATCCTCCAAGCAAACACAGTGTAAAAGGGACCATAGCCATCCTTGGCCATGCTTTATCTTCCTCCCGGATGGTATGTGTAACTAATAATGAGTGGTTTATATACTTGTGTAATTTAAAAAAGAATAAGAATGTTCAGGAAAAACACAAAACCAATTGGTGTTCTTAAAAAAAAAAAAAATACAATTATTAAATTGTGTGATAATTTTAAGGTACTAGAATTTTTTTTAATAAATAAATTACTAGAATCTTTAACATATAAATAATTGTGAATATTTTGAGATAGGATGAGAGTGATTTTATGACTGAAGATGTTGTGCACAATGTGGGCAGCTTGTTTGTTCAACTTCAATGCTGGGATTCAATTGCACAATATGTTGTCTTGAATTAATCCGGTTGGCCTTCTTAAAAGGGTAAATAAAATGGTCTTAACTAATTGGGCACAAGAAACCTGTAAGAAAGTGGAAGCATAGGAGGAATTTTTTTTAATTTTAAATTAGTTTTATCTATTTTCATACGGTAAATTGCATTATTAGTTTTTGCAATTTAAGTAAAGTAAAACTAGAAAAATCAAAGTAAAATTCCAAAAAACTATAGGAACTATCGGAGTAATGAATAAATTACACTAGTAGTCTTTATAAATTTTTTGAATTCTATTTTGTCCTTCTAATTTTATAAAGGATTTTTTTTGGATTCAAAATGTTAACAACGCATGACAAAGGAATAACAATGAAACAAATTGAAAGCGTACAATTTAAATTATTTAAACTAAATTTGCAAAGATAGAAGTAACATATCACTTAAACTAGATATATAATTTACCTATTTTCAAAACTATTTTTAACGCATTCTTAATACTACTAAACAAAGCACCATAAAAAGTCGTTAGTAATTTGCCTTTCCCTTTTTGTTTTGAAAGGTGGTGGTGGTGATGATGATGATCCATTATAGATTGAGAAAGACCTAACAACTTTCAGATGGTGATGCATGTCATATGTGTTAAAGAAGTTAATTGAACTAAGCAGAGAGTGGTCTCAACTCATCTCATCGCATGTGCTAGCATTTTCCCATAAAAAGATTGTTTGAATTGAATTCTGCGATCCGACCCACCCTACGAAACGTAAAGGGTGAAGCCTCTTGCTGCAGTAGGGTAGGGTTTGGCACCGGCTATGGTTGCGGGTGCACCAAAGCTTCACTGTAAAAGCCCATGCACTTTTTTGACTTCACCTTTCTGCTCAATTCTCCTCTCATCTGTCATTTCTCCCAAGAAAAGTACACAATTTTTTTTATTTAAAAAATGCATATAATTTATGAATAAGGTGTTGCCAAAATTACATTCAGTGTGTTTGTGTTTGTAGTATTACTGTTGAAAAAAATTGTCAAAAGATAATTTCATATATTTTTTTTTAATCAGTAAAAAATGAATTTTATTGAATGTAAAACGGAGTTACATCAATAAATTTGATACAAAATTGATGTAAAGCATAAATAAATTTTATTTATAATTTCATATAAATAATAGTTAATCTAATAAATTTGATATAATTATATAGTGTTCTTTTAAAATATATACTCCATAACACTTTTGGCTCGTATTGGTAGTTTTAGGTTAGTCAAATGAATGAATTTTGATAATATTATCATTTAAAGTAAAATAATTTATTTTATCCTTTATTAAACAATATTTGAATCCAAATACTCATATTCTATGTTCCAATCAGACATACTCTTGGGAAAATGAGGGTGATTAGGTAAGTTGATTAGGGATGATGAAAGGTAATTGTGTTATTTGATATCATGACATATTTTACTAGGGGTGAGTAGCGAATATATCGATCAGCTCAAACTGACTGAACTAAACCGATCTGCCGCATTTTGGACGGATGCGTGATGATGAGCGAACAGTTGTGGATCGATTTTTTCCAATCCACCTAGTTTTGAACGGATGGCGGATTTGAGGTTCTTTTGGCCGCAACCGAACCGCTGAACCGTAAACACCCCTAATAATTTGTAAGACTTTGTATTTTCAATTTGTTTAGATATTTTATTTGTGTTTTCAATTGAAAAAAAAGTTTAAATATTTTGTTGAATATACTCTGTTGAAAAAGAGTTTTAACTTGAATATATTTTTTGAATTGAAAAAAATAAATGTATTATTTATCTATATTTTTTGATTTTTAAATCTAAGTCTAAAAATAATAAGTAAAAAAGATGATATATGCTGGTTGGTTTTGTTTTCAAAAATAGATATTGATGTAACAAAACAGAGATATAAAATCTCTACTACTACTCTGTTCATGGTTTTGGTGGTTTAAATTATTTTTATATTTTAAGAATCACGGATTGTAATACTTTATGTGGACGAAGCATGCTATGATTGTAATATGTGGATGAGGCATGCAGTGATTGTAATATTCTAAAATTTCAAACTTTCTTTCTTTGGATGAGATATGCAGTGATTGTAATATTTTCTTAAGTCATTGACTGTAATACTTTTTCTTTTCTTTTTTGAAGAAGTGCACAAGTTGAATTATATTAAAAATTTATAAAATTTTAAATCGCCAAACCAATTCGCATCTATCTACCAATCGGCTCAATCCACATCCGCCGGATTGACGGACGGATGCAGATTGATTTACTCCAATCCACTAATCTGATGGACAGATGGCGGATTAAAGGTTCCGTGACCGCAACAAACCCGCGCCCACCCCTAATATTTACATAGAAAATATTTACATGTAATACAGTGATTTAATCACCTTTTTTTTTTAGTTTTTTATTATCAATGGTAAAGTTAATATTATTTTAGGAAGGATTGAAGTAATTTCATAAATTTAGAATAAATTATAAATTTTCATTTTTTAGGAAGAATTAGTGTAAGTGTAATTAATCCTTCAATCTCCATTTTTTCTTCTTCTTCTTCACATTTCATTTTTCTTTGTGAAAATTGAAGAGTGAATGTCTTTCTTTAAATGAAAAGTGAAATATACATCATTTTCATGGTAACTAACAAGGTGAAGGATTATGACTTGCAATCCTCCATTCATTTTTTTTAATTTTTTTAAAATTGAAATAATTATATATATAGAAGCCAAGAAAGCAATAAAACCAAACCCGTTGGAAAGTAGTGAACAAATCTAAAGACCATTAAGAACGAATAAAAAAAATATATATATATATATGAAGAAGAAGAAAAAAATACAAAGAGGAGGAGCACAACCTCCTTAATCTCTGTACTAATTCAGTTATGAGTTGGTCTTGTAAGCAATCTAATTGATGCAGATGAATTATCAAATGAAACTTTACAATCATGAAGATTACGAAGAGAAATACAAATCAATGTTAACTAGTATTTTCCCTTGGCTCCTCTCTCTGTCTTCCACTAGACAATAACGAAAATGTTATGTGCACAGAATTAGAACCAAAAAAAAAAAAAATACAAAATATAGATTTTACAAATCAAATTTATTTTCATGTTCTAATTATGTGCGCCTAACATATATTTTGCTTTTCCATCTAGATTTGAAGAATTCGATACAAGTCCAATGCCAAGTTGGCTTGATCCTCGTATAGGGCTTCATTTGGTCAAAATCATGGCTCCAAAGGTCTCGGAGACGATCTAAATTCTTCATAGATTAATGACCTCTCTCTGCATTAATCCATGGATATTTAGTTAAAAAATCATGGCGTTCCCATCAATGCTCCCAAGAATACTGAAAATTTTCTTCAAATCTCTTCAATTTTGCCTTTTTCTGGGTTTCTTCAAAGGTTTCACAATCCGAGAACAATGTAGTATACTAGAGTAATGGGCAATGCAATCAACATTCCAAAGATAACCCTGAAATTTTTACAAAACAAAGTAAACAAATTTAATTAATTGAGCAATAATACCGTTGCAGACTCAACCAAAAAAATTACTAAATAAGTGTTCAAAAAGTGTATTGTGGCAACACTACATTCATCTTGATAGAGTGTGGGTCTAGAGGTACAAGAAAAACCGATAGAACTACACCCACTGTTAAAAACGACAGAAATTTGTGTTTTCTGTATGTTTTTCATGAGTATTATCTGTTTTGAGTGTAAAATTTTTGACATGGATATAAATCGAACCGACCGAAATATTATATTATATCTTATTTCTTTGAGCAGTATAAGATAGGTGACTAATATTATATACTTCTATTGATAAAAATTAGAGAGAGAAGCATATATAGACTAACTTTCATACTTTTCTTTATTTGTTTCTGATATGGAATTTTATAACTTTTTATAAAACATTTTAAAATCTCATATAAATCCCTCATCTGCACTAAACCGACAACGGTTCCTCAATCATCAAAATTGAAAGGTTCAATTAGTGCTAAACTTTCACTAAACACTGATCAAACCAAACCGTTTTATGCAGTGTATCCAACACATCGTGGTGGATTTTTTTGGGGAATTTTTTTTTCCGGTATTATTTTCTTTAAATGAGAAGCAAAAGGAACCCAAAAAAAAAAAGGAAAAGGAAAAAAAAAAATCAAAGGCAAGAGATAGTTCGCATATGCTGCTTCACTTACGCGGTGCTAAGAATTGCGGGATGGACATTATATTCTTTGGCAAAGACAAACGGAACAATCCCTTGAGGAAGTGCGGCAAAAAAAAAAAAATCAAAGGCAAGAGATAGTTCGCATATGCTGCTTCACTTACGCGGTGCTAAGAATTGCGGGATGGACATTATATTCTTTGGCAAAGACAAACGGAACAATCCCTTGAGGAAGTGCGGCCTGTTTGGACAGCAAGAATATAATTTATCAAAATTGCATGCAAGTTGACTGAACCAAATCATAAAATGTGACATATATCTGAATAAAATATTCATCAACATGTCATATTATATGATATATTCATCATAGTGTGACATTAAATATTAAAGATATAATGTATACATTGTTACCCGACCAGGAATTTTAGGCAGTGGTGTGGAACCAAAAGCTGATTTTTTTATAAATTTTATTATAATGAAATTTAGGCATTTATGAACATACATTATTTTAATAAATTAACAATATTATTCTATGTAATTAAACTTTTCAACGAAGTATCAGGTTTTGAAAATTATTGAAAAATTTACAAATAAATGGTCAAATTTATTTTTAAAAAAATTCAAAGAATGGGAGAATCAAAAATAATTTCAAAGGAGTTAAAAAAACATCTGCAAATACATGAAATCTACTTTATTATAATTTTTTTTTAAAAAAAAAAGAGACCAAAAAGCCTCTTATCTTCTTAAAATTTAGGAGAAATAACAGTTTAGAGGGAAGGTTAAAAAATAATGTCAAATACATGAAAATGTTTATAAATATTTTTTAAAAATATTTTGAACTTCATCATTAATATGTAAATATTTATATTAAAATTATATTGAAATGAAATTCTCCCTAAAATTTACTAATATGTCATCTTCTTCCTTTTCCCTCCTCTTCTTTCTGCAACTCCGATCATAAACAATTCGCCATCAACTAGAGTTGTACACAGAAAGGGAAGAGGAGAAGTGACACAACGGTAAATTCAAGGGTATAAGCAAAAGTCATTCCACCTATTTGCAATTATTTTCCAACTTCCATTTCTATTACTATTTTGCAATTTATTTATTTTTGTTTTTTGATTTCCTCCACTTAAATGTAATCTTCTCAAAAATACTTGCCCTCCCCAAGGCATCTTTCGGGAGAAAACTATTTTATTCCAAAAAAAAAAAAAATTTAAAAGTCACTAAAAAAATTTTAAAAAATAAAAAAGTTAACATGTTTGGTATGCATCTAAAAAAATTGAAATCTAAATTTTTTTCAAAATTTCCTTTTAATTTTTGTTCAAGTTTTATGAAATCAGCGTGAGATTTTGGACATAAAAAGTTAACTAATATGCCACTTTTGTATTAAAAAAAAAAAAAAAGAAAGTAAAAGTTTGGCCCCATACATTTATTTTCAATAAAGCATTAGTGGGTGAATTTAAATAAATAAACAAACTTGTGAAAATATTGAACTAAGCCCTAAATATTTTTTTAAATTGAAAGTAAATGTAATTAAGCTCATGTTTATGACTGTACAAAGCAAAAATGGTAGACTTAAATGTAATATATAAAACCAAGTTGGTGGGTACCTGGACAATGGCTATGTGGAGGAGGGTACCCCGGAGGCCAACGGCAATGGAAGCTGCCGCCATCGCAGCTGGGCCGGTGAGGAATCTCACCACCATTGCGAACGCCGCCACGGAATTCCCGCATGCAATTATCTTTGGTTGAAGAGCCATAAACAGACCTTTCAAACACATAATTAACATATCAGATTATTCAAAATCCAAAAAATTATTATATTATGTAGTATATAATTAATTTAATTTCCCAACCACCTTTGCTAGTAATTATGTGTACCCATGGAGCATCCATCCTAACCGATACCCATCGATTTGGGACCGCTAGCGACACGATGTATCGGACCCACCTTGTCGGGTGGTCAATCCATTGGCAGCTAGTGATTATTTTGAATTCAGTAGTAAACATTATTCTAAATATAGTATTAAGAAATATATTGATATAGTATTATCACATATTGATTGATATCATATAATATAAACTAATATATCATATAACATAAATAAAATTTAAAATTCCGATAATAAGGTTTAAGGTTTGGCATATGATTCGGTTATTATATATATATGTGTGAAAATTTATTCTTTTACTTTAAGAAAATAATAATAATAATAATAATACTTGAAAAATAGGTGTGGATGGTCGACATAAAATGCCGAATCATATATAAATGTGTCTAGATAAATGTGTAATATCACCGACAAACCATGTGCCCTACTAGACCAGAAATGTGGTGAGAAAGAAAAACTTAAAGTAGAAGCAGCCGAATTAGGATGGCCTGAATTGAGACACGAGTCCATGAAATATGACTACTCACCTAAGCTGAACATGGCCATTCCTAGACCTGCGTCCGATAGTATTGAAATTGACTTCTCCAGGATTTTTGGCATTGCCACATGCCACCTGCATTTCCCAATTATCAAAATTTACATAATTTTAATTACCTAATTCTTAAATCAATAATTTTAAATATACAAAATTTTGTGTATTAAAATTTGGATTACCGGCAAGCAATGAGAGACCAGATTACACCAATGAGGCTCGAGTAGGTGTTTGGGTTTCGGATTAACTTACGCCAAACCATGATTAAGATCAAACGGGTCATAACGCTGGCCGGAGGCATTTGTTTTCCGGCAAAGTCTTGACCTCCGGCAACATTAGGCTGTAGGTCGGCTATGGGTCCCTCCTTTTCTCTCTCCTCATCTCCATCTTTAGCAAAGGTGAAGTCCTCTCCACCAAAATCCTCAGTTCCCGGAATAACTTTAAAAAAATAAATAATACAAAACAAAAGAAAATAAAATAAAAAAATTTAAATCAATCCATTAACAATAGTCTATATGGATTTAGTAGTGCTACTCGTGACTTGTGACGTTGGATGGTTTACCTTTGTTTTCCCCATTTTGTGGGTGATCACCAACCAACATCCTGATTTCCTTGGCACCATGATCGGACCGTCCTGATTGCTCAGCCCCGCCAAAGTCTGCTCCGGCGAACACGTGGACCCCACCTCCTCCTTCAGATACAGGTGATGCACTTGAGCTCCACACAAACATGTGGAGCTCCTTAGCATCCTGGTTTTCTTTGCTCTTACATATAACTTGCTGTTGTGGCTGCGGCTGCTGTGGCTGTGGCTGTGGCTGTGGCTGTGGTTGTGGTAATTGTTGGCCTTTCGCGGTTTTCGTAACCCCGGATACGATTTCAGGGTTTGGCGCCGGATAAGAAGTCGGCGCTGCCTGTGTCGGATAGAATCCGAACTTCGGGGAACCAGCTTCCTCGAAATTGGATGGCCTCGGCGTCGGACCTCTCGAGGACTGGACCGAGTACATGTCGGCCGGACCGAAATTCGACAACCTCCCACCCGGAAAACCCATCATGGAGTAGAAATCGGAATGGTTGAAGTTCGAGCCCCTCGGCGTTGGGTTTCTCGACGAGCTCAAACTGTAAATCTCTGCTCCGGTGAGGTTTGAAGGCCGAGGCGTCAATCCCGAGAACGACCCTGGCCCGAGCGACCGCCTCGACGCGTTCGACTTCCTCACCGTCACGTGGAGCTTCCCGTCATTCCCGATTTCCGCGTCAGTCTCGAGAAAGTCGTGTCCATCGAGAGAGACCACGTCGGACTCGACTTTAAACGAGACAATAGACGCGGCGGTCTCGGGAAACTGCTCCATTATCAACATTTTAGCTCCGCGATACTCGAAAAGAAATAGAAGTAAAGTGTACCATATGATACACTGCAACACAACCACCTGAACCATGAGATTCCCCGCGTAACCGCCGTACATGGCGATTAAAAGAGGGATTCCCATGACGAGTGTGTTGGGAAGAGTAGAGAGAGAGAAAATAGTGATCATCCAGTCGAGGCTTCCGTGTTTGGAGAAATTGGTCCATATGCAGAGCATTACGAGGATTATCATCTTCTGGAGAGTGTCCGCGGCGATGAATCGGAAGTTCATGGCGTAGGGATTGTTGGTGGAGATGAAGTGGAAGGAGAGGAGAGGTACGGCGAAGATGGCGACGAAGCGGTTGATGCCGGAACACTGATCGGGGCTGAAGATCTTCCACCACCGGACTGAACCGTAGGCTAAGATCATGGCTACGTATAGAGGAATCACCGCCGTGAGGACGGTGTAGAGGTCGTGCCAAGTGATCATGGTTGAGGATCTAGTGGTGGTGGTGGTTAGGTTTTTTTTTTTTCGTGTGGAGAATTTGAATGACAGTTGAGGGGAAATTGGATGAGAAGAGGAGGGCAAAATGGGAAGAAAAATACCGTTATGTAACTGACTGAAGGTATATATGTTTTCTCTGCAGGTCTGTAGCTGCTGTCTTTGTGATAGTCTGCAACTCCTGATCAAATCTTGTGAGTGTGCGTGTGTTTGGTTTAGAGAGAGAGTGTGAAATTACTATGGGTGTAACTTTGGGAGATATATAGGCGAGAGAGCAGATGTATCTATCTGCTGAGTGATTGTATTGTATGGAGGTGGGACTTTGGGACCAGAAATGGGAATTTGGTTGGGTTAAGATGTAACCAGCTATAGTTAACTGCATTCTGTACTTGAGTTAGGCTTGGTTTGGGGACACAATGGGACTCTTTGGTTGATATTATACAAGCCGCTTATGCCTTAAGCCTCGTTTGATAAATGGTTTTTTTAGTTAAAAGGTTATTAAAAAAAATTAAAAAGTCAATAATTTATATTAAAAAGTCAAAATTTTTTTTTGTTTTACTTTTTACATATCTTTTCGTAAAAAGTCAAAAGGTAATCTCAAACATACTATTTTTTTTACATTATATTTTAGACAAAAAGTTACTAAAAAAATCATGTGCCAAACGAGGCCTTAGGCTTGGTTTGAGAAGTTGGATTGGCTTGAGTTTGGAGTTATTTTAGTCGTAAAAAGATAAAGTCACTTTTTTTAGTCTAATAAGACAAAGTGGGTGTTTGAGAAGTGATTTTTTTTTTAGATTTTTTGGCTCTTTCACTATTTTAATAAGGCATTTTAATTTTTGTATTTGGAAAGATGAGATGAATATTTTAAGAATTATGTATTGAAAAATGTGTTTGAAATGATAGTAAAATATAAATTGACCAAATTGCCCATACTGATATTTATAAGAAACGTAAGGTACATGTCCACGTGGCCACCGTTGCCTGTGTACGACGTAAGGTGCAAACATTTGTTTGCAAAATTAATTAATTAATGAAGTTGTTGTTTGTTTCACATTTAAAATTTAATTAAAATTTTTATTTAATTGAAATTTTTATCTATTTCTGCAAAAAATTAAAAACATTATTTTGCAAACATTTATTTTAATTTTTACATATAAAAATTAATTAAAATTTTGTTTGGTTTAGTAAATTTGGGGCAAAAAAAATTAAAAATCACTTTCTATCTTCTACACATCAATCAATCACTTTTTCTCACTCTTCTCTCTTTCTCAATCACTTTTTCTCTCACATACATCTATTCAACTACAACAAAATTATTTTCAAAACTCCTATACTTCAAAACTAGTTCAAAAATATACAACCAAATAAATCAAAAAAATTTGTAAACTTTTCCCCATAATTTATTTTCAAAATTTATCTCTCAAAACCAAACCAAACCAAACCAAACCAAACAAGTCCTAAGTTTTTATTCGATTTTTTTTTTGGTTCCAAAATATTTGTATCTTTTTAAAAATTAATGAAAAAAATACTATGAATTTTCTATTTTATCATTCTTTAAAATTCATTACTACTACAAAATATATAATAATAACAATTGCTATTTAAAAAAAGAAAAAAAGAAAGAAAGAAAGAAAGAAAGGGGAAATGGTGAATTTTAGATAATTTAGTTAAGTTAGAAAAGAAAATTTTGCAGAAATAGACAAATGTGGTTACCAAATTTGGCGTTCAGTTATACAAACAGTTAATTTTAAAATAAAAAAAAATTACAAAAGCAATCTACGTTTAAATAGTAAATGATAACATGTAATACTTAAAAAAAAAAATTAAAATTGCAACACACTTGCATTGTCCTTACACGAATTATAAATTTAAATAAATTTCTTAGTCACATTGCATTGCGAAAATAGAAATTATAAATTACACTAACATACAAATTAGATAACAAGCATTTTACAATAGTTCTTGATTCCGTATGAGAAACAAATGGTTACGGATGTGTCATGACCTAAACCCGCCCTATAGGTTTAGCATCGTAACCGGCCAGTAATCCTTTGATTACCAAAGGCCTCCTGACATAATAACATATAGCAGGGGCTGCGAAAGCAGATATCTAAGACATACATAGTCCATAGAGCTGTGCAGACATACATGGGTCAGATAACTTAAAACTTTTTATAACAGAGATGCAAACTTCACACATCACTTCAGAATACACATTAACAACCATCTTAACCAACACAACATATATAGTGTAAACATAGCTTAAAGTGATTACAAAAACAACCATGAAACTTGACTTCAATCGAAACCTCCTCGAGAGGCACAAAGGTTGGTTGACAAGACTGAAGCTTAGGTTGTCAACTATGGGCCTAGTCACGTGTCTGCTTACCTACATACATAATATAAATAGTGAGCGATTGTCCAATGAATAATAACAGAGTAAAGGTTTTACTGAATGATGTCCGTACAGAAACATAATCTTGTACGTGTTCGAATGTCATAACATAGTAGATTCATTGGCATGATTGCATTTGCATTCAGAACTTAAACATACAACATATCATGGCACGTGGCATATCCATTAGTATTAACAAATCTGATGACCCACAAGGGACTGCCATGAAGGCTTTCTAATGACTCATGTGCACAGAGACGTTTCTGATGACCCATAAAAGGGACCTAATGACCCATAAAGGAATGCCTATCACATGATGTTAGTGATGCCATAGATAACTTTTGGAATTTTGGACAACCATTCATTCCTTTCAAACAGAGCATAGCATTTCAAAAGCTAGTAATTTCATATCATAATGTTTAGAAAATATTTAACATTGAACATAACTTTACAAAGTTATTACTCACAAATAACTGGTAGCTCCGAATAGACGGCGAAGTGGGACATTCACTTATCTTGGAGTGCGTGACCTACATAACATGATAGATGCATACGTTGAATACACATGCTTGGTTGAGCATAACTTATTTCATTGTTCTTAGTGTGTCTCTAGCCTTTAACCTCATTATGGAGTCTTAAACATGGCCTAGGAATGCCTAGGATAGAATGAGGATGAACAAATGTACTTGAAACACTTAGCCAAAATTTTGCTAAAACAGGGGTCTCACTCGAGCGTGACTTTGTTCGCTCGAGCGTGGCTTTTGGAAAGATCAACCTCGATGCCCCTCTGTGTGATCAAGAAACCCAGCATTTTCCCTGATGTTACGCCAAAAGTGCACTTTTGTGGATTCAGCCTCAACTAATATTCTCTGATTCGTTGGAAGAATTTCTTCAAGACGGTGTAGTGACCCTCTTTTTCCTTGGACTTGACAATCATGTCGTCCACATACACCTCGACCTCTTTGTGGATCATATCATGTGAGATTGTGGTTGCAGCCCGTTGATAAGTAGCCCCAGCATTTTTCAAACTAAACAGCATCACCCTGGAAAGGCATGGAATATGGCATACTAGCATGAAAATTTTAGTAGCAAAATATGATGCAAAACGGCCTCAGAACATGGAAACATGGCACCCGATACATGGAATGAGACCCGAAACATAAAATTAGGTACATGGAATGACCTATGGCTATGCAAAGCATGCATTATTCGAACATGAAGTGTGAAGACAGAATCAAGACAGTCCCAAAACAAGCATATTTACAGTTTTAAGCAAGGCCAAAAATTGAACACAAATAGGGCTAAGTTAACATGCAAAAATGGCCCCAAAAGAGAGATAAAAAAGCAAGTAGCATCTTCTGGCCCTAAATGGCCAAGAGCCCTTCAAAAAAGTTGAAAAGGGGCTCAAAATGAAGCACTTTACAGTTTACAACAAGCCACGAAAACAAACACAAGTATGGCTAAACTATTGTGCAAGAAATGGGCCAAAAGGGAGACAAAGAAGCAAGTGATGGTTTCTGGCCTCAAACAGAGGAGGGCCCTTCAACAAAGTTTAAGAGGGGCCCAAAACATGGTGTTTTACAGTTAGTGACCAAACCCAAAACAGTGCACATGCAAGCTTAAAATACTATGCAAAATAAGGCCTAAAAAGAGGTTTAAACACAAAGAGCAAAAAGGGAGCTTCAAAAAGCAAAAGTCCCATGATAAAAAATGAAGAGGGGGTCAAAATAGGGCTATTTACAGTTCGGACCAGAGCCCAAATATACAATCACAAGGGGCTAACAAAACATGCAAAAATAAGACCAAAAGAGGGATAAAGAGGCAAGTGACAAAAGGAAGCCTCAAACAGTGAAGAGCCCTTCAATAATGTTGAATAAGGGCTCAAAATAACCCACTTTACAGTTTATAACCAAGCTCAAAACAGTTTAAAAATAGGCCTAAAATACTATGCAAGAAAGAGGCATACAAGAGAGGTAAAGAAGCAAGTGTAAAAAGGAAGCCTCAAACAGGGAGAGGCCCTTAAACAAAAATGAAAAGGAGCTCAAAATAATGCTATTTTCAGTTAGGGTCGGAGCCCAAATATGCAAGAAAGAGAAGCTAATATATTGAGCAAAAATAGGGCCAAAGAGAGTGATAGAAGACTTACCCTATGGAAATGGCCTTGAAGCTGCTGGAATAGAGTGTGGATTGGTTGGCTTGGAGATGGAGTAGAATGGATGTAGGATTTGAGAGGTTTTGAGGGTTGGAGTGTAGAGAGAGAGAGATACAATGTAGGAGGCTTAAACCAAACTTTCTAACTCTTCAAATGGGAGCTGGAGGGCCTGGATATATAGGCAAAAGAGGGGGAAAAAAAGGGAGGAAATGGAATTCAAATTTTCCCCCAAAAGTTGGCCCCGGATACAAAATCTGGGGGGAAATAGAGGGCATTTTTGTAAAGTACCTGGAGAGAGAATCATGGCCGGCCGGTTTCCTAGGGTTTAGGTGGCCGGTCGGCCTTCTCCATGGCCGGTCGGCCAAGGGTCAAAAGGGTCAATGAAGATTAATGGCCGGCCATGCCAAAAAGAGGGCCTCTCATGTGTGCACAACACAACCATGTGGTCAAAAACTGGAGAAAGTAAACCAGGAGAGAGAAAAGCCCACTTTTTAGAGGGGTTCAAAAGGGTCAAACACAATCACTGGCTGGCCATGTGATATTGGTGGCCTCCCAGGTGTGTACAATACAAATATGTGGTTTGGGGCTGGAAAAGGTGGCCTTAGGGTGGTCAACATTGGCTTTCAAGTGAGAAAAAAGGGCGACGGAGGGCGATGGAGGAATAAAACTGGTTGTCAGAACAATTACTGGCCTCCCACCCT